ATTTTTACAGAAATGCCACTTTACCAGCCTAGAGTTACAGTTTTGTGTGGGTTCACTTCTTTTATTATTGGGCCATTTTTCTTTGAAAAATCAATGGAAGAACTTTTAAAACCGTTTTTGTAACTGATGAACGTTATGTCCAACTTTTGAGAGAAAAGGGTATTCCCATATTGCAGGGCAAGAGCACTAAGCGAAATAACATTCATGAAAGATGGAGGACCTCCTCATATCTCCCGAGGTGCCAAACAATTGCTGAAGGATACGTTCTGTGAAAATCGTGTGATAAGTCGCCACTTTATATACCAGTGGCCTCCAAGATCACCAGACTTGACGCCTTGCGATTTTTGTTTATGGGGGTACATTAAATCGCGCGTTTATCGATGCTGGCCTACCACATTGGCCATGTTGAAGGCTTCTATCAGATGGCACGTTTTATCAATTTCAACAGATATGTTATTTAATGCTGTCCATTCTGTCATTTATCGTCTGCAGGCGGTGATTGAGAATGAAGGGTGCCACATTGAGCAAGGATTGTGACCTAATACAATTATCTACCAATATTTTGCAGCTCTTTGTGTTGGGATATGGGGATAATAAATGCTGACCTCACATCTTGACTATCTTTTTTTATTTGTGAACAGTAATTTTTTGTTTGTCATTTTCTCACATATTATGTCGTGCAAACCAGAGTGTTATAACTTCTCGAATAACACTGGTACACACAATTTTTCCCCTTATGTTTAGTTTTCGCTTTTCGCTCATTAGAAGAAATAGCATAAGGAATATTTTCTGTATACCAATAACTTTAGAAATTTTGTGAAAAAAAAAATACAAAATGATTTTACTACCACGTTTTTCAACGCAAAAGGTCGATTTAAAAATTATTTTTATTTGAGGGGAAACATTTTTTAAAATTGTGTACAGTATAATAAACAATGATAACATTTGACAAGCCCATAGGATATTTGGAATAAAGTACGACAAATATATTTTGTCACTCCCCTCTATATTTCATTTGTTGGATCATAACAAATATCCAGTTAAATAGTCAAGGGTCTCCAATTAGTCAAGAAACTACACATTTCTTATAGCAAGAAATCATATTAGTAGTGCCATCATAATTTTTGGTACTATATTAGCATATCAAAAATTCGTGTATTGATATCAGCAGTATTTTTCAAACATTCAATCTATTTCACAAAACCCCATATAAAATATAAATATTTTTGCTACATGTTTTAATTTGCATTTGCCTATTTTACATATCTCTGATTGTATTTGAAAATCGTTAACCAATTCTTCATACTTTTGGCGAAGTGGTGTTTTATTAATTTGTTATTTGATATTATTAGGGTTCTTTCCTGGTATTCAAAAAGGAAAAATACGTGTCGTTCAATTATATTTTTCAATTTATCAAACAATTTGGCCGCTGAATATCTGAATCTGGTAGAGCGCCATCTGGTGAATAAAATTGTAACTAAAATCAATTTCGAATTTTTCATTATTTGCCATAAAAAATCCCATTGCATCCTGAACACAATGGTGTTTACCGCATTGCTCTAACGCAAATATTCGCGGAGTTATTAATTTTTAAAGTTGTGCGGGACTTTTGGATCACCCTGTATATAGTGTATGCTATGAGGTTTTAAATTGTAAGTATACTTGAGGGATGTATATTTTTTTGTTAATGCTATTTTCATATTTTTATATTCTATTGAAGTCCATCTTTCTAAAAAGGTCTTGAATGTTTATCCTTAATATTTTATATACTATTTCAGTTGAGTCAAAATTTGGTATGCGGTCCTGTTTTAGTGCGTGGTCTACTAAGAGGGAAAGAGGGCTATAGTTTTGTTCGGTGTTCATTTGTTCTCTCATATAGAGAGAGTTTTTCCTCTCTCTTCTATGTATGTAGATGGGCATGATCGGCATGGGATTCTGTAAATGAGGTTCGAATTCTGAATATTGTTTGTATTATGTTTGGTATCGGGTTGGCGGAGAAGCGTTTTTAAGTTGAATGATGTCTGGTATATAGTTTTGATATTATACATCTTGAGAGCTCTACTGATTCTTGCAATGCCATAGCTATATGGAAGCGTGCAATATGATTTCTGAGATTTGCTATTGGAAGGAGGAATGAATGTTGACCTGTTGAATTGTCTTTTGATAAATTCTGTGGGATAACTATTGCTTTGTAATTCATTCATTAGCATTATTCTTTCTTGTTGTACTTTTTCCAGATTATTAGAGCAATGAGTATAAATTCTTTTTGAGAGAGTTTTTATGACAGATATTTTATGGTTGGCCGAAGAAGCTGAAATTCACGTAAGCACCTGTGTGAGTTGGCTTACAGTAAATGCCTGTTTCTATTTTAGAGCAGTTTCTGGTCAAAATTATATCTAAATATGATAAAGAGTTTTTTCTATTTTCAATCCTTAGATTTATTATTTATATATATTTATTTATTATTAATATATTAATATTTTTATTGTTTTATTTTATTATATTTTATTATTATTATTTATTATATTTTAAAAAACATGCATATTGTAGGTTTTAGAAATTTTACATTTTATAGGAGTTTTACATACTCGTGAATTGATATGCGAGCATTTCAAAAAATATTGTTGCCCGAAGAAGTTTGGTGTGTTGCCATACGAAATATTGGAAATTAAAATATATATGATCCAAAATAAGCATTTTTTAATATATAGAGAGAGAACTAAAAGGTTTCAGCAAAGAATTGCGAAAACAACTCTAAGGAAGATTACATAGGACACAATGCCAACAAGAGGCAGCAGAATCTGCGAGTTGAGGTCCAAGTGAAGGAGAACAAGACAAGACAAATCGTTGCTGATTATGTAATGCTGGAGGACATTTGTCGTGTGGGTGACACAACAAAGGCCTGTGGGACCATCTCCGTTTCCATTTAGCTTCATATTTCAAAACTGCTTCAACCCTTCAGAATTGATATCTTCGCGTTCCCTTTAACCACAAACCGTATTTTTTTCATTCTAAAAAGCGCTATTTCAATATTTTTTTTTTTTTTTTAGAATTTAATATTCCTATATATTCTTCTAATTATTTTTATTTCAACTTTCTGTGCTTAAAATATCAAATATCACATTTTGTATATCATACAGATTTATAAATCGTAAAAATAATATTCTATGTGTATTTTAACTCAAGTAATCTGCTAAAATAGATGCAGAAAGTTTGAAAACTTGTAAGAATTGCTTGATAAAATAAATATTTAGAGAGAGAGGCAAAGAATATAAACCCTAATCGATGAATCTATGATTTTAACCTTTATCTCAAATTGATTCATGTTCTATGTTTATATAAAATATTTTATTTTTATTTTAGACTAGCCGACCATAAGCTTCGTTTGGGTATTGTGTTGAAGTACATTTTCGACCTGTTTTTATAGAGTTCTTAATGAAATCAATTTAGTTTAAAAAAAAAATTAAAATATATTATTCATGAAATAGTTTATTAGATTTTACCAATAATGATCTTAGTAGTAAATATAAAAACTAATATAAAATTGGTTTTGTATTTTTCAATTTATTACAATATATTTATTTTTTCACATACAATATGTTAACCTTTAGCAATATATTTGTGAATTTTTTTCAATAAGTGTGTCAAACAGTTTCGAGGATAAGACAACAAATATCCAATAAGCCTATCAATTATATATGCAAATTGTTAAATTGTATATATATTTATATTGTATAATCTAAAAATTCAAATATTTCTATATTTAAAAAATATATATATTTTATTTTTATTCATTGATATTTTTACTTTTGGTTATTAGCGTTTTTAAAAAAACTTTCAGTTTTGTTGTATAATTTTGTAGTAAATATGCGTAGTTAACATATCTATCTTTTTGAATCACTAATATAGGATTAACTTTATAAATTCTATATAATGTAAAAATAACTAATCAGTAATATTTCCTCAAGTAATTGAAAATAAAAACTACTTGACGGTAAATAATTATCTTTTTCTTATCACGACTGCACCTCAACCCTTTATCTTATTGATCCTTTGTCTTACCAACCCTTTATCTAACAACAACAACAAATTAATTCATAACATATATATGTGGCAATATCGTTGCGGGGTTTCTTATTGTTGGATGCGAATGGTGAGATTTGGTTGAAGCGCAGCCGTTTGAGTGGAAGTTGCAGCATACAGTTAGGAATAATCAGGACACGTGATTGAGTTTGAAAATAAAGGCAACGGGTTGGAGGAAAGAAAGTTTGATAAGAGCTGAGCGATTTGACTTATTAATTAACTGATCACATGGCGGTGATTGTACTTAGCTGTGGGATGAGCAGAGGGGGAGAGGTCTAGAGCCGATGTCACCTCCTTGGGAGCCAAAGCGTAACTGACATTTCTTGCTTTTCGATTTAACACCAAGCTTCAGTTTCTCTCTGATTGGTTGAGATATGATCACATGGTGTTTTCCTATTGGTTGACCTACTTAGTGGTTCCTCCCTAATTGGCCGGCGGCTCTCCTTGATGAAAGATGGCCTGCCTGGTATATCCGATTTCGTCAGGAAGTATTGGGTATCTTGACGCTTATAGCTTCGACGGATATTAGATACGTCCTGTTTTTGCCGGAAGTATTGAGTGCATCTTGGCTAAAATAACTTCTGCGGTCACTAGAGACGTCCGGTCTCTGCCCCTGCAATGTTGACACAGGGGTGCCAAAATAGTCGTGCCAGCTTTAGTCTTACTTCCTATATCTTTTGTTACTTTCTTTCCTCCAGTTACCTTGTTCTTTATTAAGTCTTTGAAAATCATACATGATACATACATAGTGGGTCGGGGTTGCATTTAATTATATACAAATTATGACAGATGCGCCCCCTACATGTGAAGAATTCAAGAAGGGGTTAGCCTGAGAGAATTCTGTAAAGTGAAAAATAATTTTGTGGGAAAATTAGTTGTGGGTATGGAGGGGCTATATACAACCATTGCTGGTAATATAAAAGTAAAATAGAATGGTGTTGATGATATAGGTTGAGTATAATTAATAGAAATCAAAAATTTTTAATTGTAAGAAATCAAGGAATGTTATGGTACATAGTGGATTAAAAGAAAAGAAAATGCGCCTAAACGAATTCTACTCGAGTTAAGAAATGAATTCGAGGGGGTTCTATTTAGGTTTTGAAATCAAAATAAAAATAATATAAAAATAGTTGAATGAAATCAAAATTGAATGTGTTTGGTTGAATGGTGAGAAAAAAAAAAAAGAAAAATGCCTAACCATATTCTAGCTCGAAATTGGGAATGAAATCGAAGGAATTCTATTAGGTCTTTTGAGAAATCAAAAATAAAAAAATAAAAAGTTGGAAGAAATCAAAGTGAATGCTTGGTGCGTGGTGAGAAAAAAAGGAAAAATGCCTAATTACTTTTTTGCTTGAATTTTGGAAAGGAATTCGAGGAAATTTCATAAGGTCTTTTGAGAAATCAAAGTAAAATAAAAATAAAAAGTTGGAAGAAATCAAAGTGAATGCTTGGTGCGTGGTGAGAAAAAAAAGGAAAAATGCCTAATTACTTTTTTGCTTGAATTTTGGAAAGGAATTCGAGGAAATTTCATAAGGTCTTTTGAGAAATCAAAGTAAAATAAAAATAAAAAGTTGGAAGAAATCAAAGTGAATGCTTGGTGCGTGGTGAGAAAAAAAAGGAAAAATGCCTAATTATATTCTAGCTCGGAATTGGGAATGGAGACCGAGGGAATTCTATTAGGTCTTTTGAGAAATCAAAAATAAAAATAAAATAAAAGTTTTTTGAGCGAAATCAAAGTAGAGTGCTTGGAAAAAGGAAAAATGAAAAATAAAAAGATTTCAACAACAAAGGGTGATTTAATGTTTTTAGTTTAATCGAAAGTCAGTGAGTTTTCGTTGATAATTGAGTTGTGGTAATATAAATCAAGTGGTAAGTAGAATGATAATTGATAAATGAAAATGATAATATAACTAATTGGAAAAAAAAATGATAATTAATGATTAAAAGTGGTAATAAGTTGAATAAATTGATAAATTGATTAAATATTTAAATTTTAATTGAGAGAAAATAATGAAAATGATTGATATGAAAAATAAGGTGTATTGGTTGGAACCCTTTGGTATCTACATGCCCTGATCTACATGTATTGATTGCTCCATTTTGCCCTATAAATGTTTTACTTGCTCAATTATGCCCTATAAATTTTTTGTCTCATCTGTAGTGACACTTAGGTGAAAAACGTGATTCTAGCCCTTAAGTGCGTTTATGCTGTGTACAGGAGACATGGAAATCTATATAACCTTTACGTGTAATTTTTTGTCTTTGTGTGTGTGTTGTGAAAAAATGTTAGAAGTCGGTTGTGTAAGAGATGTGTGAGCTAGTTCTAGGTGTTGTTTCGTGGATGTGTAATTGGTTGGTAAAAATCGATATGTAGACTCGAACTGGAATCAAAACCGGTGGTATAGTGAGGTTCCCAGTCGACCTCAATAGGGGATCTTCTCATTGTAATTAGAGATACGGAAGTGGGGTGTGTCGGGCAAACGAGAGGGAGGGAAATTGGAGATCGGACGAAGGCGCTCCGCTTTGTTTACAGAGGCCGAATTTAACCTCCGTGGACTATACTTCCTGTCGTGGTGTTTCAAATCTCATTTCCTGCCGTCTATTTATTTTTGGTGCGGCTCAGGGCTTGTTTTTGGAGCGTGATTTCTCCGACACTGGTTGGTTATCTTTTCAGTTACTGCTATCTCTTCGGAGTTTATTTAGATTTTCTGCGAAGATGGTTCCTAAAATTATGAGAAGTTTTATAAATACTTGTCCACAATGAAGAATTGCTTGTCCACAATGAAGAATTGCTTGTCCACAATGAAAAACTGTTTGTCCAAAATTAAAAAATGCTTGTCCTAAATTAAAAACTACCTCTTGTAGTTCGAAGATTTTCTGATCGGGCATAGCATAGATAAACAAGTAATTGATGACTAAAATTGGGATACAGTTGTATGGCAGAAGTAACAAACAAAGGATAAGAATCAGATGAAATATAGGATATTGCCCCATGTTCGTCCACATTTTTGTAACTGGGGACTCTGAAATATTCGCTTGAACCTTATGAATTGTAGAGTTTGAATGATTGGTAGGTTCGCAGTTCTCCTGTTTGATATCTTTAGGGAGTGGTGTGATATGATTGAGCTGGTTGTCAGGTTTGCAGTTTTTAACGTCGGGGAAGAGTGATGTAAATCGTCTTGTTGCAAAAATGGCAGGGTCTAAATGCCTGAAAGGTTCGCTGCTGGTGGGTTTGAACCTTAATGACTCTGTTGGGAATAATTCGGGTGTTAAATGTTTGAAAGGGAACGTGTAATTGGGGTTGTGCTTTATATGATAGGTGTTAACGGCGGGTGGTGATATATAATGGATTTTTTCCGTATACAGTTTAAGTTTGTTGACGTGGATTGTGTCAGTGTCTCTTTGAAGTGGTTGATTTGGTCGAACTATGCGGACCACATTTGGTGAAATAATTTCTAATATTGTGTGAGGTCCTGTGAAATATGGCGCAAGTTTCCCTGTATTTGGGTGGTGATATAATTTTACTAACACTAGATCACCTACTTCGAAATGTGGTTGCTTGTGTCGTTGGTCATAAGTGTTTTTGTCTTGTAAATGTTTGTTTTGTGTGCGTGTGTGTGCAATTTTTCTAGCTTTGTCGATATCTGGGTATGGTGTGTTATGATTAGAGATTTCTGGGGGTAGGATACCAAACATTAAGTATATGGGTGGAAAACCTGTGGTAGAGTGGGGTGTCTTGTTATATATAAGTGTAACCTTCTTGACCAACTTGGTCCATGCGACCTTAGGATTTTCTAGGTGTAATAACCTAAGTTTTCCCGTGAGGGTGGCGTTCAGGCGTTCACATAGGCCGTTGGCTTGTGGGTTGTTGCTGGTTGTGATTAACGGGTGAATATTTCTATTAAGGAGAAAACTACGAAATTTGGGTGAAGTGAAGGCAGGGGCTCTATCCGTAAGAAGGCGTTTTGGAGAACCATCCTGGAATACTCGCTTAAGTACCTGTTGGTAGGTGGTGGTACTGGTGGATTTAGATGGAAAAGCCCATGCGTAGCGTGAAAAATGATCGACTACCACATGGAGGTATATCTTGGTGTTGCCATATTTGGCAAATCCTGCTATGGTGTCCAGAGATAAAAGGTCGAAGGGTTCTTTAGATTCCGGAGGTTGACTTAATTCTCCGTAAGTGGGTCCTACTGGACGTTTTGTTAATTGGCAGGTGGGACAGGTTTTAACTTTTTGTTTAATATCTTTTGACATACCTTGCCAGTAATATTGTGTGGAGATGATTCGTGACATTTGTGACATACCGGGGTGATTGTATTGTGTGTGTACTGTTTGTAAGAGTTGTTGTATGAGTGGTTTTGGAAGTATAATCTTGGTTACACCTTTTCGGGAAACTGTATGTAATCCATTACGATCAATGGTCAAACTAGACTCTTTCGATGGAGGAGGTTGATGGGTCTTGATAAGGGTGGCGTCCAAGAATCCACAAAACGGGTTACGGGATAAGAGATCTGCTTCATATTGTAGTTTTCCCTTTATGTAGCGGACCTCGTATTCGTAACTCGATAGTCGTAAACTCCATCGAAACAGTCTGCCGGACGGGTTTTTGATGGTTTTCAGCCACTGCAATGCGTGATGGTCAGAGAATATAGTAAATTTTCTGCCCATAAGATAGATGCGAAACTTCTCCACACTCTCAACGATTGCTAAGCACTCAAGTTCAGAGATGGAGTAGTTTTTCTCGTGTGGGCGCAATGTTCGGCTGAAATATTGAACTGGGTATACGTTTCCGTCAGGGTGAACTTGTTTGAGAATGCCTGCTATACCGAGGGTGGATGCATCGCAATACACTTGGCATGGCAGACCTTCTTTGTAAAGGTGTAAAATGGGGTGTTGTGTGAGGTTTCCTTTTAGGTCAATGAACGCCTCTTGACAAGCTTCATTCCAGTTCCACACGACGTCCTTTTTGAGGAGATTGTTGAGTGGTGCTCGCAAGCGAGCGTATTCCGGAATGAATTTGTTATAGACGTTCACAGCGCCTAAGAAGGATTGTAGTGTTTTTCGGTTGTGTGGTTGTTTAATGGCGTGGATGATGTCGGTATTGCGTGTAAGTGGTGTAATTGTACCAGCTGTGATGGTGTACCCTAGAAAATTTATGGATTGCTTAAAAAATTCGCATTTTGCGAAGTTAAGTTGTAACTTCTCCGCTTCGCAAAAGGCGAAAAATTGTCGCAGGTGGTTTTGATGTTCCTCCAATGTGTTGGAGTAAATGATGAAATCATCAAAGTAATGTGCCACACAGTCAAGTCCGTGTCTTTGTAGGACCTGACTTATGGCTCGTTCGTAAATCTGAGGACTGGTTTTTAACCCGAAAGGTAATCGAGTGGGTTGGTATAATCCTTCAAAGGTGGCAAATGCTAACAGTGGTCGAGAATCGGGGTGTATTGGGACTTGCCAATACGCAGAGGATATGTCGGCCGTGGAAAAATATTTGGCCTGTGCGAGGCGGTCTAGGATATCCTCGATTTTCGGGAGGGGATGGACATCAGAGCTGATTAGCTCATTCACCTTCCTATAATCGATACAAAACCGTTTGGTTTTGTCGCGCTTAGTGACGAGGGTGACAGGGCTCGAGAAAGGTGAAAAAGATTGCTCTATGATGCCGTTCTCCAGCATTTGTTGTATTTGGTTACGGATTTCTTGTTGGTCACATATCGGAACACGATATGGACGTATGGTGATTATTTTTTCGGAATTCGTGGGTATTTTTACTGGTGGAATCCGTAAGCATGGTACGTTGAATTTGTCCTGTGAAAAAATGTGAGTGTACCTTTGTAGAAGTGTTGTGAACTGTGGTGTATAATGAGTGTTAGGTGTTGTGTTGTAGTATGTATGTGGTAAAGGGTTTTGTTGTGTATTAGTGTGAGTGTCGAGTTCGTTGTGTGGGTTGGTCATGTGAGTGTTGTGCAACGGTGTGTGATCACCTATGTTTTTGGTATGCGAGTTGTCCCGCTGTGTGGGTGCGTTTTGGGCAGGTTCATAAGTTGAAGTTGTTGTGGTTTGATTATTTGAGGGCATGTAAAAAGGGCAATTGGCTTTAGTGAAAAAGGGGCATGTAGATAAGTGGGGTTTTCTCAATGAATGCACGCAATGGTTGTCATAGGCGGAAAGTTGGGATGTGGGGAAAATTTTTTGTGACATCGCCTGACACTGCCAGTACGTGCATACATTGGACACATGATTAAAATGGTAGGAAAGGGTAGACAATGGGGCGCCCAGCTGGAGTATAGTGCATTTATTAAAATCTATGGTTAATCTGAATTTATGGAGGCTATTGATACTAAGAATTCCGAATGGCAATGGTGCATTCACTACATGGAAATACTCCTTTCGTGATATTTGTCCTATTGTCAGTGGGATAGATAGTTTACCCATGGTTTTTGCAAATCCGTTTAGGGTTTGGAGGTGTAGTGAGTGTCCCTCAAGGGTTAAATTAGGCAGGTGGGTTTTTAGCATATGATAAATATTATATGGCACTATACTCAGGCTGGCGCCTGTATCAATTAAAAAGGGGCATGATACATTAGGGGCTAGATAGAGTTTGACAGTCAGTTGGTTTAGGGATCCTACCTCAGTCTCGAAAGGGCTGCCCGGCTGAGGTGTCTCTGGCTTGACTTGGTTGTGATGAAGTCGGAACTGGTGATTTTGGGATCGTTTGCACTGTCCGGACTTTTTCGTGGGTCGTCGGGATTGGTCGACGTCGGCATTCGCTGTGCCAGTGTCTCGCGCCGCAGAACTTGCAATTGGACGGCGGAAGAGGTGCATTCCATGCACCTGGGCGTCGGGGTGTGCTGTGGTACGGACCCGACATTGTGGGTGGTTGATCTTCTCTGGATCGCGTTGCCGGTACACTGGGCCCGTGGATCCGCTGTACCAGGCGGAACCACTCTCCTAGGTTCTCGGGAGGCACTACGCGGACTAGGCGCTGGTCGTTGAATGGCAGTCCTTCTGTCAGCGTCTCGAGGATCACCTCTTGTGGAAGTCCTAGTTGCAATCCCATGGCGGTTTTTTCCCGGTAGTAGGTCTCTAAGTTGGCTTGTCCAGTGAGTTTCATGGCGAAATATTTCGCAAAGGACGCTTCGCTTGACTCAGGGTAGAGATCTAGGAGGATTTGTCTCACCTGGAAATAACTCCGGTCGGCCAGCCGAAGTTTCCTGAAGAGTTCCAGGGGTTGTCGCACCAGGTAGTTTGGTAGGCGCAGTAATTTTTCTTGTTCTCCATGGATGCGTCTTCCATTTTTCGGTCGAACGTCTGGAAAAACTGTGTCGTGCTGTATGTGCCGTCGAAAGGCGAGATTGCCGATTCCGCTCCATCAGAAATTTTTGCCCGGGCCAGGAACATTGACAGCTGGTTGACGGCGTCCGCTAGGGGCGCAGTTGTCTCTCGGTCGGTCATCTCCTGTCTTTCTCTTGTCGTTTCGTTCTCTCTTACTTCTTGCCTTCTTTCCATTGTTTCCGTCGGACTGTCTGACTTTACGCCTATGGGATCCTGATTTAATTCCATCTCACTATCCTGTCGACTTAACCGTTCTGTGGCAATATCGTTGCGGGGTTTCTTATTGTTGGATGCGAATGGTGAGATTTGGTTGAAGCGCAGCCGTTTGAGTGGAAGTTGCAGCATACAGTTAGGAATAATCAGGACACGTGATTGAGTTTGAAAATAAAGGCAACGGGTTGGAGGAAAGAAAGTTTGATAAGAGCTGAGCGATTTGACTTATTAATTAACTGATCACATGGCGGTGATTGTACTTAGCTGTGGGATGAGCAGAGGGGGAGAGGTCTAGAGCCGATGTCACCTCCTTGGGAGCCAAAGCGTAACTGACATTTCTTGCTTTTCGATTTAACACCAAGCTTCAGTTTCTCTCTGATTGGTTGAGATATGATCACATGGTGTTTTCCTATTGGTTGACCTACTTAGTGGTTCCTCCCTAATTGGCCGGCGGCTCTCCTTGATGAAAGATGGCCTGCCTGGTATATCCGATTTCGTCAGGAAGTATTGGGTATCTTGACGCTTATAGCTTCGACGGATATTAGATACGTCCTGTTTTTGCCGGAAGTATTGAGTGCATCTTGGCTAAAATAACTTCTGCGGTCACTAGAGACGTCCGGTCTCTGCCCCTGCAATGTTGACACAGGGGTGCCAAAATAGTCGTGCCAGCTTTAGTCTTACTTCCTATATCTTTTGTTACTTTCTTTCCTCCAGTTACCTTGTTCTTTATTAAGTCTTTGAAAATCATACATGATACATACATAGTGGGTCGGGGTTGCATTTAATTATATACAAATTATGACATATATATATATATGTTACATAAAGATTTTATTTAGGAAATGTTATATTAAAATCATTTATTTAAAATGTTATATTGAAATATTTTATTTTAAAATGTTATATGTTAAAATGTTATTTTGTTTAAAGTTATAATTTCATAGATATAAGTACTCTGTTTTAATCGACCGCCAGAGGTCACGCTTCTACTATATAAACTGATTGTTGTTCTTACCCGGCTGGCCGACCCAAAGTTTTTGTAATTATGTAAATAATCTTTTGTTTTATTTATTTATACGCCGTAAGACAGGCATTACTTTTATCAAATTGTTTTATATATATTCCATGGGTTCACAATTAAAACAATATCTGATCAAGACTATTTTTATTATTTTACTTACAAGATTTTAACCACGACTGCACCACCATAGCTTAATCCTCAAGATAACCAAAATCAAGATGATCCAATATCAAGCAGAAACTCAAAAATCTTTTTTTTAAATTAATATAATATATATAGTATAGATTAAAGGGAATATGAAATTCATGTCCCAAAAGTGGTAGCTGTCCTTTTAAAAAGCATTCAAAAAATGTATTTATATTTCACCCCAGTACAAAAGATATTGAAGGCGATAAAGAATGAGTAACAAAACTACTTTTAGCAAATTTTCGAACGATTTCATAATTCTCCTCATATGGTGTTATGAAATCGAAGCCGTCCCTGTACTATGAGGGCAACGCTCAAAACCATAGTATACAGGTTGGCTTTTGTGTGAATATTTCGCCAATGAATATTATCCTCTTATCAAATCACAATATATATAGCTTTTATATTTAATATACATCATACAACTAATTGAATAATTAAAAAGGTATCTGGAGATAGGTTTATTTTTATTTTATTAAAGCCGTCTAAAGCTTTCGGGCATCTTTGCCCTCCTACATTAGTACATAAATAAACGAATAAAACGCCACCTGATGCCATTCTTTTTATTTATTTTCGGCAACATGAACTCAGTAGAATTTAGTTTAAATATATAAGGATCAAAAGATTACATGAGGAGCTTCTTTTTAGATTTATTACGAGCTTTCGAACCTTCCGGTTCTTCTACAGGCACGGATAGCATGGAAATGGTAACAAGATTTATACGCATTTGAGCCATTATATACATACATACATATTTATATATGAAGCAATAATTTCAAATATAAATTAAAATTGAACTAGTTTATAAAATTATGACTGTGAAAATTATCAAACTATGCAAATAACATTTGAAAATTTTGGTAAAATTTGTGAAAAACATTTATGTACGCTAATTCTTTTTATTTTATTAAGGCATTCTCAAGCTTTCGGGCATCTTTGCCCTTCTTTTGGAAAACTTAAATAAACGAAGGCATCAGGCGGCGGTTTATTCGTTTATTTATGTTCTCCTGTAGATGGCCAGAGATCCCCAAAAGCTTGACTGCTTTAATAAAAAAAAAGAAAGAAAATCATCTTCAGAAACCTTTTTAATTATATAATTAATGTTCAATAGAATCAATTGATACATCATAACTACTTAATACAGTAAAAATACAGTGGATATGTAATTCCGTGTATAAAGAATGGTATTACAGAACTGTTGTCAAAACAAAGATGATGGCGACATATGGCCATCATAGGTATCTGCAGGTACGATGGTTTTATGTTCGCCTCATTGATGGGCCATCCCTATTCAGGGCACTCGTGTCTTTTATGGATCTCTTTTTAAGTGGCCATTCTGTCCGCTGATCAATATCTGGCGTTCTGCTCTTCCTCAGTTGGAAGTCAACTTGGCTAACTTCACACATCTCGGCTATTATCTCACCGTTAAATTACTTCAAAACTTTACTACTCAAGAGAAGGAATTTCACAATAGTCGTTACAATTTACCTTTGAACATATATCTTGGTTCTTAATGTCTCTAACAAGAGATTATATTATATAAAAAGAGAACAAAGGATACAAGAATAAAGTTGAACTGAGATTAGGTGGATAGAGTAAGAAAAATGAATCTCTTTTTTATGAATTTTATTTCAACAGACAAAATGCGATATCCCATCTAGTGATGATTTGGGTTGATTTTAAATTTTAAACAGAAACAGTTTTAAACATATTATACAAGAAAATAAAAAAATAAAAAATAAACAATAAGATCTATTAGGAACTTGTGATCCTTCCAGGTTGGAAAGATAATTATAAAATATATTTACAAAAAGGGTTTAAAGCTGTGACAATTATCTTTAGTATTTACAATTCATATGTTTATTATATGTTGTTTCTTAATGTCTCTTACAAGTGATTATAATATATAAAAATAGTGCAAAAGTCATATTGACCTAGTATTAGGTGGATAAAGTAAGAAAAATGCATCTTTTTTTTTTCAAAACACAAAACGCGATATCTCGGCTAGGGGTAATTTCGTCGATTTATATATTTTTTTAAGAGAAATTTATAAAGATATTATACAAAAAAATCTTTAAGAGACAATAAAATATATTAGGAACCTGATCCTTTCAGGTTAAAAAGATAATCATAAATTTATTTATACAAAAATGGTTGAATCTATGAGAATTTTCTCACACACACACATCTTCTTATCTTATAATTAAAAGTTTCTGATGGCTTGTGCCATCTGTCGGAATAAATATTACTAATCTTTATTTTTAATTATTACAGAATTAACCGAATAGACATTATTGATTAATCAAGAAAAGCTAACACATACGTGTCTCAGGCTTTTGGCCCTATTAGCGTGGTGCAAGTTGTACCTCAATTGCTAAAAATCTGGTTTCTGGGGCATCTTGAAAAATCATGCAAATATTAGATTATAATATAGTCGAACACACGCATAATTATACGAGATAATATGTTTTATATTCTAAATATAATAATACCTTTTATTGGCTAAATATCTCTCGATATTTTACTATGGCGAACAATATACTTCAATTCAGAATATAGAAACTTAAGTTTTATCATGCTCTATTTTAAATATGTGTCATCTTTGTGTTTTCTTCAATATTTTTTTTAGAATTACCTCTTACAACCATTATAAATATTTAATTAAAAAGACATATATTGTATCAAAATATATATATTTTTTACCAATATTTCAGTTGGATGAACGCCAACCTTTTTCAAGGTATAGCAATATATTTTATGTGTCAACGACAATCTCATTGCTAATAAATTTATTCTCCCTCCCTAATGAATATATAGGCAAAATAATTTTCAAACTTAAATCAATTGACGTTATGTGTGGCGCTGAGTTTGTTGCTAACATAATTATGTTGTAATTCCTTGTGTGAAAAAGGTTGGCGTTCAGCCAACTGAACTATTGATAAAATAAATGTTATTTTAATCCAATATATGCCTTTTAAATTAAATATATATTCATGGATTGCTCTATTTTCAGAATTATAAATATATTCCCCCTTTTATATATGAATTATTCTCTAGTATAATTAATGAGATGAACTTATGTATATTTAATAATGTTTTATTGGATATGTACGTCTGAATTTGAAAAAGGCAGACGTGTCCTTAAACTGTGGTAGAATAAATGAGGATGGCAGCAGAGATAGGATGTAAGAGTCAACTAACGCCGGCATATGGTAATGCATACTGATTAGGGACAGCTTTTGACTCAATTTACGGCCATTCGGATGGAAATGGAATTAGGCCGACTCTCTCCTCACCCCATATGTTAGGCCGGAAAGGACATTTAGCCTGATGAAACTGGATATGGCTTTCAGGAAAACGCTGGAAAATTGAATATTTTGTTAGACCTGTTTTTAAATGTGGTTGTTAGATAGTTTGAATCTATTATTCGAATAATGTTTTCTACTTTCTAATATCTTCTAAATTTTATTCAAATAGAAATTATATTTATAACGATTTTGTGAGATATATTCTGAGATGATACTTTTTTTGGTTAGAGTAATATATATATATTTACCTTTAAATTAGCTATAAAAATATCTTTATATAATATACACAACCAAAAAATGATTTCAACTCAGAATATATCCCACAAAATCGTTTTAAATATAATTCTTATTCAAATAAAATTTGGAAGATATTAAAAGGTGGAAAACATTATTCGAATAATAGATTCAAGACATATAACAACCACGTTTTAAAACTGGTCTAACAAAATACCCAAATTTCCAGCGTTTCCCTGAAATCCATATCCAGTTTCATCTATGAAATAAATTATAATTTATCTATTATAAAATAATGATATATATGTTGTAATGTATCATATGTAATATAGCTATAGTATAATAACCAAAATTGTAAAAACAATTTAAATTGCCAGTTCACCATCATGTAATGCAAAACAAAATAATAAATTTAGATTTAGTGACAGTCGGCGTCAGTCAGGAGAAATGTCTCCGAAAAACATGTCGGGGTACCAGGTGTGTCCCCTTCTTTCTCAAACAGATTATCGCTTTGAGACACGATGATTGACAGATCTGCCTTGACTGGCCACGCTACGGTACAGCTTGCACCACGCTGATGAGGGCCAACAGCCCGAAACGCGTCCGTGGTTAGCTTATCTTGATTAATCAAGAATGGGTATTTGGCCAATTCTGGAATAATTAAAAATCAAAGAGAATAGTTGATATTTATTCCGATAGATGGCGCCAGCCATCAGCAACTTTCAGTTGCACGATAAGGAGATGCCTTTTTCTTAATTTTATTTCTTGGTTTATTTTATTTATTTTTTTTTTCTTGAACCTCAACGACCAAAAAAAAAATTGGCCATTAAGGCATCCTGAAAAATCATGAAACGGGTAGTTAAGGCCAGAATTGCGTGAGGACGCTACACAATGTGAAAAAAAAAAGCACAAATGTAACATTGTACTGGGATAAGGTGCATAAATTAAGAAAAAGGCATCTCCTTATCGTGCAACTGAAAGTTGCTGATGGCTGGCGCCATCTATCGGAATAAATATCAACTATTGTCGTTGATTTTTAATTATTCCAGAATTGGCCAAATACCCATTCTTGATTAATCAAGAAAAGCTAACCACGGACGCGTTTCGGGCTGTTGGCCCTCATCAGCGTGGTGCAAGCTGTACCTCAACGACCAAAAAAAAATTGGCCATTAAGGCATCCTGAAAAAATCATGAAACGGGTAGTTAAGGCCAGAATTGCGTGAGGACGCTACACAATGTGAAAAAAAAATGCACCTTATCCCAGTACAATGTTACATTTGTGCCAAGAAATAAAAGTAATACAGAAAAGTATAGAGGTACCAGAAAAAAGAAGTGAATTTAATAAGACAAATTATATGTTTGAACTGAATAGGGGAGCATTTTACAGAAAATTAAAGGCACAAAAAGCAAATGAAGGCCCCTTTAATGAAGAAGATTTAACAAATTTCTGGTCCAAAACTTGGACGAAGAATCAAGACCTCGATATTCCGGAATACTTCATCCAGAATGTTGAGAAAACAAACAAACCTATCGAGCAAATAGAAATAACAAAAAAAAAGAATTCGAGGAAACATTGAAAAATTTGCCAAATTGGAAAGCAAGCGGTATAGATATATATATATATATATATATATAAAATTTATAATTTCTTTATTGAAAAATTGACCCCGCTACACGAAGATCTATATAAAGCCGTTGTTCGAGCTATAAGGAATCCAGAAACAATTCCAGATTGGATGTTTACTGCAAAAACTTTCTTGTTTCCTAAAGGAGGAGAGAACACCCCCAGCAACTACCGCGCCATAAGTTGCATGAGCAACCTGTACAAATTAATCACGCGGATATTATCTAGAAAGCTGAACAAATACATAGATAAGGAACGATATCTGTCTATCAATCAGATAGGAACGACGCAGATAACTCAAGGCGCCAAGGAATAGGTCTTATTAAACAAAGCTATATGCAAAGAACACGCAAATAAACTGAAAACCATGTGGATCGACATAGCGAAAGCTTTTGACAGCATCGACCACAAATACTTGCTTAAGATATTGGAAACATCAAGAGTTCCAAAAGAAATTCAACAATTCGCAAATATTACCCTAGACAAAAGGCAAGCACAGTTGTACTATGGCAAGCAGTGCCTCAAAACAGTTAAAATAGAAAGAGGAATATTGCAGGGAGATGGGCTATCACCTCTATTCTTCGTCATGTGCCTCGAGCCGATAACAAGGGAGCTCAACAAAGAAGACAGTCCCCAAGTGGAGATGAGAGTGGGAGAGGAAAAAATTAAAATAAATCACCTATTGTTTATAGACGACATAAAAATATTTTCCTATAGCGACAAGGATCTTGAGCTCTTAGCGAACAAGACAACTCAGCTTTTGAATAATATAGGCTTCAAAATCAACCCGACAAAAACAGCGACAAACTCCACAGAAATTCAGGAATTTGGGACACTGGCAGAA